GAGTGAGAGAGAGAGAGAGAGAGAGAGACGGTGGGAAAAGGCATGACATAACTGACGAAAATAGAAACAAACAGAAAAAAAACAAAAAAACAAAAAAACAATTCACCCCCAAACAAAACGCACTGGCCAGCGCAGACATTTAATAATGGGGGATAGAGAGAAAGGGTTAGGGGGTGGATAGATAGATAGATAGATAGATAGATAGATAGATAGATAGATAGATAGATAGATAGATAGATAGATAGATAGATAGATTATTCTACTGCAAAAAACGAAGAGAATATAACGTATTGACTAATGATTCATAATGCGTATCCGTAACCTTCACGCGCCCCGTATTCAGATTTTCGCCATCAAATCCGTTTTTTTATCGCTCTGTTACCCCTGATATATTATTTCCTATAGCATTGTTCCAGATCTTTTTCATCCTTTCGCAGGGTTCATGGTTTTATAGGGACGATTTTTTAAACAGAAAAAAGTCTGTATCCTCTTGCAATTTCTTTATAAAGTACATGTAAGTGAAACGTCTCGTACTCAACACTTCGGAAAAAAATTCTTCAGTTCAGTTTTAACAAAATCTCACTTTAAAAAGAGAAAGGAGGAACATAATAAACTGCCAACACGCTCATCGAGAAAATAAAATTATTCGCTCCAGAGAAAAGACTGAATAATAATAGGCTTGAAAGAGAACGAACCGGCTTCTAAGATTGTATCATCGAGAGCAGAGAAGGAAATTGTGATAATGTGCTTTCTGCCGATGATTCTCCATCAACGACATTCCTAGCTGTCCACGAAATAATCGTGCGGATGTATGTGTAGAACAAGATTTCTCCGGGATTAACAAGCAGCCAGATTGTCCTGGCCTTCATTCCAGAAGTGGTCAGTCAACCCAACAGGCAGGCTGGAAAATGTCTCGCTCTACGCATGGGTGGACCAACAAACTACCAGCCATACCCCTGGCCTCTGTATTGACAGGACTGGCTATAGTAGCTGTACTGGTTCCGGGTCAAGCGGAGGTAAGTAATTAAAGTTGTCACGACGTGGTAGAATCAGGCGTTCGTCAATTCTTGAGCATGTGGAGTTATTGGCGTCCTCATCTTAAAGCTTATCCATTTGTTTGTCTTTTGGTGAAAAGAGTAACCATCTATCTTTAACAGAAGTCAAAACATTAAAATTTGATTTGAAAGATGTAGGGTCGTCTGATTTCACAGGTAAAATAAACGAGATTAATGGCCACCAAAGCTTAATGCCTTGACAGTTTTTGTGCCTTTAATCAACGTTGTTTTTTTTGTGTGTTTTTGTTGTTTTTTGTTGGAAAATCCACACAGAAATGTGTTTTTAAATGAACGTTAAAAACTGTTGAGGTTAAAAATTAAAATTCGATAAAATTTGCAAAACCGTCAGAAAAATGCCAGTATCTTCAATTGCATTATTTTAACGAGAGCCTGAATTCACCACGATATTAGTGTTTCGTGCGTAGAGCTGTCTGTGTCGTAAAAAACTTGAGTGAAATCCCACCCAAGCGAGATGATTGTGATCTTCTTGGCATTGTGTTTCGGGCTTTTCTGTTTGTACCTGTACCTCACCAGTCTTTTGAAGATAGCGTAAATTAGAAAAGTTGGGAGGGAGGGAAGTTGGGAGGATTCTGAGATACTGCGTTCTGAAAATGGTTGGTGAATCTTGTCCTTGTTTATATTTAGAATACATTAAAGTATAGCTAATTTCGTTGTATTTTCTTTTTACATGGTGTTTTGATTTCTTTTTTTCTGTCATGGTGGGGGTGAGGGTGTGTGCATGTGTGTGCATGTGGGGGGGGGGGGGTGTTCGTTTTGTACTTTTGTTGTTTTGGGTAGGTCTTTGTAAAAAACACAACTGGTGCGGCGGTGCGCATTATGGGCGTGCAAGTGCAAATGAAGAGCAAAATACCAGTCTCGCAGCGGCGCTGTAGTCGAGTGCATACGCAGTCTGCAATTTCGGTTCACTATAATTGAGCAGATCATTTGAGTCTATTCAGAACCAAATGAAGGGCAAAGGGAAAAGTTGCGCACGCACTCGGCTATAGCTAAACATGTTTTGTCCTTCATTTACCCTTCCATGGCGCGCACTAGCGCTGCGAGGGTATTTTTTAAAACAGATAGCAAAGAGTAGTGGCCATGACAGTGCCCATGCAGTCTAGTTTATCATTATAATTCAAGTCTATGTCGTCTAGACAGAATCAAATGTTTTTTTGTAAGGGTTTGAACGCTTAATCAGCAGTTTGCAATGCATGCTTCCCTAGAAGCTGAGAATGTTTCTAAGTGTTCTATGGTCTGCTGGGGGTAATAATATTATAGTGTAAAGCATAGAGCTTGCTGTCAAGCGGGGATATGCTCTCTGCAAATGCTATTTAATTATTATTATTATTAGTAGTAGTAGTAGTAGTAGTAGTAGTAGTAGTATTGTTATTATTATTATTGCTATTATTATTATTATTATTATTATTATTATTATTATTATTGCTATTATTGTTATTAAATGGTGCGCCCCCTGGTGAGCTGGGATTATGTCTTGACTGCAGGGTTTTGCTGATTATAATTCAAGTATATTGTGGTACAGGCCAATTTATATATCATCCTTGTGTATCTCATAGGCATGCACACTACTTCACATGTTCTGCAAAAAATGATCCCTGTCGAAAAAAGAGAAAGAAGGTGAAGAAAAAAAAAACACAAATAGGAATGTGCTCAAACAAATGCGAATTCTGCGTGTACCTGATAGCAATTTTGTTCGGAATGTCATTTATGTCGTAAGAACCCTGTGAGAAATCTCACTCAGGCGCGGTGACAGTTTTCTGCTGGACATTGTGGACCTGGCTATTGTCGCGGTACTCCGCGCTGTACCAGTCTCTGGATGGACGGTAGCGTGGATTAGAGGTGGGGGGGAGGGGGAGGGGCTGTGAGGTCTGGTGTGTTGTAGGTGATGAATCTTGTCGTCCTTGTTTCGCACACGTCATAGTAGGATAGTTCATTTTACTTTGCTTTCCTTTTACATGGATTTTTGTTTATTTATTTATTTGTGTGTTGTTGTCTTTTTAAATTATCATTATTTTGAGAGTGAGGGAGTTTAGTTTTATTTTGTGGTTTCGGGAAAGGGGAGGGGGGGTATTTCTTTTTGCTCCATACTGACGTCGATGGAGGTTTTGGTGTTGTGTTATTTTTCACGTTCGAGGGTGTTTTTTTTTCTTTGTTTATAAATCGAGCATCGCACCTACAGGTCTAAAATATCTGAATATGTAGTCGGTATGTTGGGCTTACATTAATTCTCATTTTCCCAAAAAAAAATCCAAGTTTCGAAAGAAAAGAATAAGACGAAGAAAAAAGAAAAGAAAAGAAACGCGCTCAAGCAAATACGAGTTCTGAATGTACCCGGTTACTACAAGTATTTAATTTTGTTTGGAATGTCGTTTATGTCTCACTGTCAGGCGCGTGATAGTTTTCTGCTTGACATTGTGTCCCGGGCTATACTTTCTTATACGTTCTTTGACCGTCTAGGTCCCGGGCTATTCTCGCGGTACTCCGCGCCGAACCATGCGTCTCTGGACAGTAGCGTGGCTTGGAGGGGTGTTGGGAACTGAGAGGTCTGGTGTGTCGATGGTGGTGAATCTTGTCGTCCTTGTTTCGAACACATAATAGGATAGCTTATTTTAATTTGCTTTCCTTTTGCATGGAGTTTTTTTTACGCCTTTTGTTATTTTTTAAAACATTATTTTGAGGGTGAGGTAGTTTATTTTGTTTTGTTGTTTCGGGAAAAGGGGGGGGGGGATACTTCTTTTCGCTCCATACTGACGTCGAGGGAGGTGTTGGTGTTCTGTTATTTTTCACGTACGTACGTTCTCTGACCGTCGAGGTCCCGGGCTATTCTCGCGGTACTCCGTTCCGTACCATGAGTCTCTGGACGATAGCATGGATTAAAGGGGTGTTGGGGAACTGAGAGGTCTGCTGGTGTGTTGAATATAATATGGTTACTCTTGTCCTTGTTTCGAAAACGTATAGTAGGACAGCTCATTTTAATTTTCCTTCCTTTTGCATGGACTTTTGTTTATTTGTTTGTTTGTTTTTAAATTATCATTATTTTGAGGGTGAGGGAGTTTAGTTTTATTTTGTGGTTTCGGGAAAAGGGAGTGGGGGATATTTCTTTTTGCTCCATACTGACGTCGAGGGAAGTGTTGATGTTCTGTTATTTTTTCACGTACGAGGGTGTTTTTTTCCTTTGCTTATAAATCAAGCATCGCACCAACAGGTCTAAAATATCTGAATATGTAGTCGGTATGTTGGGCCTACATTAATTCTCATTTCCAAAAAAAAAATCCAAGTTTCGAAAGAAAAGAATAAGATGAAAAAAAAAAAAGAAAAGAAAAGAAACGCGCATAAGCAAATACGAGTTCTGAATGTACCCGGTTACTACAAGTATTTAATTTTGTTTGGAATGTCGTTTATGTCTCAATGTCAGGCGCCGTGATAGTTTTCTGCTTGACATTGTGTCCCGGGCTATACTTTCTTATACGTTCTCTGACCGTCTAGGTCCCGGGCTATACTTTCTTATACGTTCTCTGACCGTCTAGGTCCCGGGCTATACTTTCTTATACGTTCTCTGACCGTCTAGGTCCCGGGCTTTACTTTCTTATACGTTCTCTGACCGTCTAGGTCCCGGGCTATACTTT